CTACAGTGAACAGTGTAAGATATCGGTGATCAACGAGCCTACAGTGAACGGTGTAAGATATCGGTGATCAACGAGCCTACAGTGATCGGTGTAAGATATTGGTGATCAACGAGCCTACAGTGAACGGTGTAAGATATTGGTGTTCAACGAGCCTACAGTGAACAGTGTAAGATGTCGGTGATCAACGAGCCTACAGTGAACAGTGTAAGATATCGGTGATCAACGAGCCTACAGTGAACAGTGTAAGATATCGGTGATCAGCGAGCCTACAGTGAACGGTGTAAGATATTGGTTTTCAACGAGCCTACAGTGAACAGTGTAAGATATCGGTGATCAACGAGCCTACAGTGAACAGTGTAAGATATCGGTGATCAACGAGCCTACAGTGAACAGTGTAAGATATCGGTGATCAACGAGCCTACAGTGAACAGTGTAAGATATCGGTGATCAACGAGCCTACAGTGAACAGTGTAAGATATCGGTGATCAACGAGCCTACAGTGAACAGTGTAAGATATCGGTGATCAACGAGCCTACAGTGAACAGTGTAAGATATCGGTGATCAACGAGCCTACAGTGAACAGTGTAAGATATCGGTGATCAACGAGCCTACAGTGAACAGTGTAAGATATCGGTGATCAACGAGCACTACAGTGTAAGCGATCAACGAGCCTCAGTCAACAGTGAAAATTGTCTGTGATCTACGAGCCCAACATTGAACAGTGTTGAACGTCAGTGAGAACACTACCAATGAGCAGTGACTAGCTAAAGCAGCGAACAGTGATTTATAGTAAATCCACGGTTAGGTATACAGTTTTTTCACTCTATCCTCCATATCCCAGCTTCTTATCCTTCTGTCCCAACAACCCTATCGAACCATATTGCTTCAGAGTGCTACTAAGCACTGACTAGCTGGAGAAGCCTATATGGAGAAGCCTATATGTAAAAGCCTAGCTGGAGAAGCCTAGCTGGAAAAGCCTATATGTAAAAGCCTAGCTGGAAAAGCCTATATGTAAAAGCCTAGCTGGAGAAGCCTAGCTGGAAAAGCCTATATGTAAAAGCCTAGCTGGAGAAGCCTAGCTGGAAAAGCCTATATGTAAAAGCCTAGCTGGAGAAGCCTAGCTGGAAAAGCCTATATGTAAAAGCCTAGCTGGAGAAGCCTAGCTGGAAAAGCCTATATGTAAAAGCCTAGCTGGAGAAGCCTAGCTGGAAAAGCCTATATGTAAAAGCCTAGCTGGAGAAGCCTAGCTGGAAAAGCCTATATGTAAAAGCCTAGCTGGAGAAGCCTAGCTGGAAAAGCCTATATGTAAAAGCCTAGCTGGAGAAGCCTAGCTGGAAAAGCCTATATGTAAAAGCCTAGCTGGAGAAGCCTAGCTGGAAAAGCCTATATGTAAAAGCCTAGCTGGAGAAGCCTAGCTGGAGAAGCCTAGCTGGAGAAGCCTAGCTGGAGAAGCCTAGCTGGAGAAGCCTATCTGGAGAAGCCTAGCTGGAAAAGCCTATATGTAAAAGCCTAGCTGGAGAAGCCTAGCTGGAAAAGCCTATATGTAAAAGCCTAGCTGGAGAAGCCTAGCTGGAAAAGCCTATATGTAAAAGCCTAGCTGGAGAAGCCTAGCTGGAAAAGCCTATATGTAAAAGCCTAGCTGGAGAAGCCTAGCTGGAAAAGCCTATATGTAAAAGCCTAGCTGGAGAAGCCTAGCTGGAAAAGCTATATGTAAAAGCCTAGCTGGAGAAGCCTAGCTGGAAAAGCCTATATGTAAAAGCCTAGCTGGAGAAGCCTAGCTGGAGAAGCCTAGCTGGAGAAGCCTAGCTGGAGAAGCCTAGCTGGAGAAGCCTAGCTGGAGAAGAAACTGTATGTTGTTATATTTGTTGTTATCCTCAAGGCTAATGGTGAGTGGGGTAGGGGGAGGGGACATTCGACAAGCCGCTGGCTTCCTGTCCTCGCCGAGACCACTAGTGCTAGTGGCCTCCCCCTCAGGTAAATCCAGGTAAATTCGTGGAGGGGGGGGGGGGGGTTCACTGTGTCGAGTCTTTTATTTCATATTTTTGTATGATTACATTTTTTCTTCCTTCCATAATGCGGTTAATTTGTTCATTCTTCTTGTCCTTTTTTATTATTCTTAAAGACAGATTGGTAGATCTTACTCGAGTGATTGATGTCCCGACAGGTGTTTGTCTGTCACTACACGTTGTTTCACTGTCAGTTGCACGTGTTTCACTGTCAACATACGTGTTTGTTCTCGTGTCCCTGTCTTGTATCCTGGGTTCGATTCCTGGGCGGGAGAGAAATGATTGTGCACGTTTCCTTTCTTTCACCTAGTACCTCTGTTCACCTAGCAGTAAACAGGTGCCCCCGGGAGTTAAGCAACAGTCGTGGGGTTTGCTGCCTGGTAAGGGTCAGTAGTTCGACAAATATGGAACATTATCTAACACAGTGCACAGTTACATCCCTAATAAGATTTTTAACTTAGACTCAACAGAACAGAAGAAGTTGTTAAACACATATGGCAAAATCTTACTGAAGCGACCATACGAGTCATAAATACTCATACTCCGCCTAAGTAAAACAGAAACAAGCAACACTTAGTGGGCCATCCATCAGAGGCTTTGGGCCCGCACAGGAATTTCCCTGAAAAAAAACGTAGTTCGACCTTAGGACGTAAATATATATATTAACACAAAACAACAATTTCAATTCCGCCAACTACAAAAAACGTCAAAATCCACCAACCCCCAAAATTCAATTCCATATAAAATAAGAAAATCCGCCAACAAAATTCCAAATCCGCCAACAAAATTCCAAATCCGCCAACAAAATTCTCCCTCTACGAGCCACTAGGAACATCATACGCGCGCAGCCTAGCTCTCTCGTACCTCAAGGGGCCAGATTCACGAAGCAGTACGTACGCAAGTACTTACGAACTTGTACATCTTTTCTCAATCTTTGGCCGCTTTGTTTACAATAATTAAACAGTTAATGAGCTCCGAAGCACCAGGAGGCTGTTTATAACAATAACAACAGTTGATCGGGAAGTTTTCATGCTTGTAAACTGTTTAATAAATGTAACCAAAGCCGTCAAAGATTGAGGAAAGATGTACACGCTCGTAAGTACTTGCGTAACTGCTTCGTGAATCTCGCCCTTCAAGTTTCCATCCTCAAAATATATATTACCTTTCATCACAGAGAATGTGTAGACTTGGTAAACACACTTTTTGCCTTTTTACAAATTTTAATTTTAAATTTCGACGCTGTGTACGTAATTAATATAGCTTTGGGCGACCTAAGTTCATTATGGACAATTTGCGTTTTAAGTTGACGGCAGCTGTAGTGTTTTAAGTTGACGGCTGGTGTAGTGTTTTAAGTTGACGGCAGCTGTAGTGTTTTAAGTTGACGGCAGCTGTAGTGTTTTAAGTTGACGGCTGGTGTAGTGTATCAAGTTGACGGCAGCTGTAGTGTATCAAGTTGACGGCTGGTGTAGTGTATCAAGTTGACGGCAGCTGTAGTGTTTTAAGTTGACGGCAGCTGTAGTGTTTTAAGTTGACGGCAGCTGTAGTGTTTTAAGTTGACGGCAGCTGTAGTGTTTTAAGTTGACGGCAGCTGTAGTGTATAAAGTTGACGGCTGGTGTAGTGTATCAAGTTGACGGCTGGTGTAGTGTTTTAAGTTGACGGCTGGTGTAGTGTATCAAGTTGACGGCTGGTGTAGTGTATCAAGTTGACGGCAGCTGTAGTGTATCAAGTTGACGGCTGGTGTAGTGTATCAAGTTGACGGCTGGTGTAGTGTATCAAGTTGACGGCTGGTGTAGTGTATCAAGTTGACGGCTGGTGTAGTGTTTTAAGTTGACGGCAGCTGTAGTGTTTTAAGTTGACGGCTGGTGTAGTGTATCAAGTTGACGGCTGGTGTAGTGTATCAAGTTGACGGCTGGTGTAGTGTATCAAGTTGACGGCTGGTGTAATGTATCAAGTTGACGGCTGGTGTAGTGTATCAAGCTGACGGCTGGTGTAGTGTATCAAGTTGACAGCAGCTATACAGAAGTATGTGTTCAGAGTATAACTTCACATAGGGGGTATATGCGTTCGAATTTGCGCATAAATTAATGCGTGCGCACTCAATAGGTTTACAGGGAATAGCCTCCAGCTCCAGGCCTTCAACTACCTCCCTACCTTGTGTAGTTTCCGGGGATCAACAGCCCCGCGGCCCGGTTGGTCGTCATGTCTGTTGGACCCGGCTGCTCATACACATCCTGACGTATGAATCACAGCCTGGTTGATCAGGTGCTCTTTGGATTCTCTTAACTCAGTAATCGAATATTAGGATGCGTCATAAATCTGTTGACCGAACAATCTGTTTATGTCGGCTTTTTGTTCCTGTTGTCGGGAGAGGGGGGGGGGAGGGATAGGAAGCATGTTAGGCTTATTCAGAACCTTCTCAGACTACCTATTGATCGTGGTGCATGCCACAACAGATGTCTAACTCCCAGGTACATAGTTACTGCTAGGTGAACAGAGGCATCACGTGAATGAAAACGTTACCTAAATCTCTCTGTCATGCAGGAATCGAACCTTGAACCTCTCGGTTGCGTACCGACTGCGCTGACCATTGAGCTACAGGAGCCTGTTAATGAAATACCTTCTGTATCCTAATAGTGGGGTCCTGTGGCGCAGTAGTCTACGTCCGTGACTTGCAATAGAGAATACCGGGTTCGATCCCTGAGGTGGGGGGACCCCGGTAAACTCAAGTACACCCTTCCTGTCTTTGACGACGGGAATTAGAGTAACAAGGTCAGTAGACTATACAAGTTCCAGTATTCTTATGTCTATTTTAAAGCTGCACTTAGGTTATGTGTGAAGTATATGACACCTTTGTAACTTACAGTGGTCGTGTGTATGCTCCCAGGAGTGTAGTAAGGTATTGGGGTAAACAAATCCACAAGGGCCGTGACGAGGGTTCGAACCTATGTCCGAGAGCATCCCAGACGCTGCCCTAATCGACTGCTTAATCGCCACGGCCCTTGTGGATTTGTTCATTTGATGCATCACGCTATTGTGATTTCTGTGTGTAAGGTATTGGGTTTAACACTCCTTCAGTAGGTAGAGTAGCTCTGTTGGGGTGTGTGGAGTGACCTCCCTGTAGGTGACCTCCCTGTAGGTGACCTTCCTGTAGGTGACCTCCCTGTAGGTGACCTTCCTGTAGGTGACCTCCCTGCAGGTGACCTTCCTGTAGGTGACCTCCCTGTAGGTGACCTTCCTGCAGGTGACGTGGGGTTCGGCACTCATCCCGCTACCTCGTCAGGCCAGATGTCCAGATTCATCAGACTGTTACTGCTTCGCATCTTGCTGACGTGGAGCGAGGACCACTCTGCAGCGCTGCCAGGTGTGTTCTCCAGAACAATGGTGCTAATTTTGTCCAGTGCAACTTTAATCATTTGTACTACAGCTAGCATGCCGCCGCACCATTCCTACCACACTAATGGTACACCACACTCCCCCTCCCCACACCATCGCCACCACACCCTACCATATCCCCACACACTTGTTTGCTGACTGAGGGCGCCATCTTTCCGAACTCATTTTGCAATTCGTCAAGTGTCAATTAATTATACACACCTTATATCGCTCTTTTAAAGTGTAGTGTTGATTATTTTCTAATATTCACAGCCATACTATGATCTACCGCATGTAGTTGTCACTAGGCCCGAGATATTACTATGTTCCCGCCAAAAGGGGATATAACTTATCCAGAAAGAAGAAAAAAATCAAGTTACAGCCTCGCTCCTTTGCCAGGTAAGTCCACTACGGGCTCACCATAGCCCGTGCTACTTGGAACTTTTTGTTCCGAGTAGCTGAATCTAAAACAACAATCAGAGGAAGAAGAAAAACACACCTGACGCAGCGAATTAGCATTCAATTAGGTCAATACGACCACAATCAAAATCGTGATTTGCGCTAGAGGAAAGCTGACGTCACTTCAGGAGACGTGATGTGATTGGTTACCGCTAAGGAACTTAGCAAGGGAGACGGGTCAAGGCCAGATTCACGAAAGCACTTACGCAAGCACTTACGAACCTGTACATTTTTTCTCAATCTTTGGCGGCTTTATTTCCAATTATTAAACAGCTAATGAGCTCCGAAGCACCAGGAAGCTGTTTATAACAATAACAACAGTTGATTGGGAAGTTTTCATGCTTGTAAACTGTTTAATAATTGGAAACAAAGCCGCCAAAGATTGAGAAAAGATGTACAGGTTCGTAAGTGCTTTCGTGAATCTGGCCCTGGTGCTTCGTGTCTGGGTCTGTAGCCTCATGCAGACTAAATAACTCTTTCCATCATTTTGGCTAATGATATTGCATTCACAGAATTATTCGCCTAAAATTAAATGTGAATTCGCTAAAGGAAATGCTAAATATCACATAAATACACAATATCACATAAAGAGACATTTAGCGAGAATAGCAGTATATGCAAATATGTACGCAAGAGGCGAAAAAAACACTTCTCAAAGTTAGTTCCGCCTTTGTGAAGCTCTAACACGATATAAGACAAATTATTTACAGCTACGAAGATCAAAGGACAAAGTTTTACCCTCCTCCCCCACTAGAGGTTTCCAGGAGAAACACCATTCAGGCCTTCAAGCAGGAACTTCAAGGAGGAGCTTCAAGCAGGAGCTTCAAGGAGGAGCTTCAAGCAGGAGCTTCAAGAAGTCTTTCATCTTGTACTTGTAAGCCTCTGTAGTGACCGTGAAGGTAAACTTCCTAGTTCAAGTACGTTTATTGAGAAAAGGAAGAAGTACATCTCAAAAGGATAGAGTAGCGTAGGCTATTTCCACCCTGGAACTTCCTATAGTGGCCAGGTGGGAAGACTAGAGGTACAGGGAGGCGACTCAAGACCCGCACTTGAGACTAAAACAAGCCGAGACCCACACATGATCTGCTCGGCAGACAAACACGAGGCAGCTTATGAAAACAAACACTAGAGACTAACCAAAAGCGGTTTTCAACATAAAACAGAAATTGCTGCAACGTATCTACTGTTGTGAACTTTAATCATTGTAATGAACGGAACTTATCAAGAATTGATCTTTGAACACCCGGCGTGGTAAAAAGATGAACTACAAGACAAAATCTAATTGAAATTAACTTGAATATAGTAATTGAGGAATCAACAATGGAGTCCTAGACTGCAGCAAGTTGAAGTGACTCTTGACGGACACTCTGTTTACCCCGCTTCTCGATGTAAAGTCAGTAAACTAAGTGTAAACACTGAGAGGTTATTCTAGTCCTAGACAATGCTCAGGCCTAAAGTATAATTGCTGGTTGGTCAGTAAACAATTGTGGTGGGCCCAATAGCTCTCCCGTGGTTGGTACACTTTAGGTCCAACACCAAATGAGTTATCATACCAACCCGTTCTCGCAAATTCGTAAAGTCAATATTGACTTATTAACTACATGCATAGGTGATATACTAAACATAATAGATACCCTTAAAAGATTCATAGAAAACACCGACCTTACCTAACCTTGTTAGTATCTTAAGATAAGCATCTTATTGCTTCGTAATTACAATTATTACTTAACCTATACCTATTATAGGTTAGGTAATAATTGTAATTACGAAGCTATAAGATGCTTATCTTAAGATACTAACAAGGTTAGGTAAGGTCGGTGTTTTCTATGAATCTTTTTTAAGGGTATCTATTATGTTAAGTATGTCACCTATGCACATATTTAATAAGTCAATATTGACTTATTAAATTTGCGAGAACGGGTTGATCATACTCATGGTTGTGTATCCGAAGTGGATATTTATAAGTATACCTCTCAGTTTCAGTCAAGTGACAGTATAGTTCCAAATTACTTAAACAATTAATAATGGGAAACTTATAAACTGCTTCAGTTAGCTCAATTTAATTTGCCAAAATTTAAGTCTCCAAATATAATGATATTTGTATATATTATTGAAGCTTTATTTTTTTATTTTAAACTACGTAAAGAGCGATCATGTTTCCTCTAGTATGACCCCGTATCTCACCAGCTGTTGTTCTTTCTGTAGTGTTCCCAAGTCTCCTGCCGACGACAACAACGACGCCGACGACGAGGACGACGACGACGCCGCTGGGATCAACAGAGAAATTCACAGCGATTCAACCACTCGCTACGCTCTTCACCCAGCAGAACAACACTGATCTTAGATCCCAAGTGGGCACTACAGCTGTACTACACTGTCTTGCCCACCATGTAGGTGAAAACACGGTGCGTGTCTTGGTTTGCTGCTGGTGGCCTCAAGCCCTTGCTGTGCCCGAGCCACATGACTGTCATGGTTTTGAGTCTCGGCGTGACTAGTTTATTTAATGTGTATATTTTAAAGGGAGTGTTATGTTATAATGCAGTCTTTGGTACTGAAAGGGGAATTGACATTTTTATAATTGGTGAGACCTTCAACCGAGATTTACTTGGTTGAAGGTTTCTTTTATGTAATGCTATATTAGAGGTGTGATAGAACGTCACCTGTCATGCTATATACATCATCCATGAATCTCATTAGCAGGCTTAGAGCAACACATCACCAGATCCATTACAGGTTTTCTCAAAAGAAAATGCCTATAGTGGAACCAAAAAGATGTACTGCTTTTGAATTCTGAATATTACTTTAAGCAGCCGCTCATGTCTCATTTGATACCTCCCAAGCCAATTGTGATTCTGTCTCTTGAATAAACTTGCCTCAATTCCCTCATCCCTTTGTGTGTAGTTATACCTCAATAAACTTACTTGAATTTGAATTCTCTCACCTTAGTTGATCTGGCCTCCACCAGGTGTCGTGGATCAGAAGGCGTGACTACCACTTACTCACAGTGGGCACTCAGCTCTACAGCAGTGACGACAGGTTTCAGGTCCGCTTCGTTAAACAGGAGAATGTAAGTAGTGACCATGTCTCATAATATCACTGTTTGGAAATGATAATCCTCTGCATCAAGATCTTCTTTGCTATGTATACAGTATATATATATATATATATATATATATATATATATATATATATATATATATATATATATATATATATATATTAGTATATTTTGGTAGCAGTCTTTCCTGTAGACATATTTTATTAAATATGACCGAAAAAGTAAGATTAATAATTCTAACACGAATTTTCTCAATCTTTCGTACATTACGCTTCACTGTTGGAGGTAAATCAAAAATCACTTCTCCAAAATTCATTTTTATTTCTAGTCTGACGCGACACGGGCGCGTAACCGAATCACATATAAGTTGCTAACCACAATTAACGTTGGAAATAACAGTTCATTCACTTTGATCATCAGAGCCTCGAACACAGAACTACAAAAGAGGAAGCCCGGACCATTACACTTCTGGACACCCACAATAAGGAAGGATCCAAGAGACTTATAACTGGTATTCAACTGGGATTTTAGGCGTTTCCTGAGGGGCCGCTTGAGTGTAGAGGTCTTAGGTGACCCACGTCCAGGATTCCTTCCTTATTGTGGATGTCCAGTGGAGTAACGGCAAATGTTGACATAGGCAGTACAGGAGTTGGTATACTCACAGCAGGTATAATCGTTAGTGTGATATCAGGGGTATAACAGGTAGGGATCTTGAATGTGGTTGATATCATGATGATAGCAGATCTTGCCATACATCAGGCAGGTGTGGCCACAAGCATGGCAGATATTGCCGTGAGTGAGGAGGACGTGGGTTGAGTACCGAGGTCTTTCCTAAAAAAAATTCAGTTTGGTGCACTGCCATCAAGTTTTTACAAGCAGCCTAATTTGCATCTAATTGCCGCACTATTGATTGAATGCTTTGGTCTGAACAAATCCACAAGAGCCGTGACGAGGATTCGAATTTACGTCTGAGAGCATCCCAGACGCTGCCTTAATCAACTTGTGGATTTGTTCATTGATGCATCACGCTATTGTGATTTCTGTGTGTAGTGCTTTGGTCTGCCTTTATGAGTCTTGATATGGATTGCTGTAGACAATTCTACCTCCCACAGGACTGGCAGCTCCACATACGCTATGTTCAGGTCCGCGACGATGGAGTCTACGAATGCCAGGTGTCCTCACATCCTCCTGTCAGCCTTTTCTCTTCCCTTCACGTCTTGGGTAAGTGGGAGACCATCCTCAACCCTCCAGCCTTTGGGTAAATCCCTCCAGCCTTGGTTAAGTAAGACTTTGTGCACTCTCCATCCTTGGGGCAAAGTGGAACCCTCCTTCCTTTCCACCGTATCAGCGTCTTGCGGGGTAAGTAATTATCCCAGCCTATAATTGCTTTTTGGAAAATGCTTCTAGGATACACCAGTGAGGATATAGAAGATCCAGAAATATCTTGTATGAATCAATATACTGTAGGGTGCAATTCCTTAAGAGTTGCTCCTAATCCTAATAAATGGTTTAACGTTCATATGTTTCAGTTAATCGCAGGAAAACTATAAACTAAACTTGACTCCCCAACGCTCTCCCTTGTGTACCGACAGAGGCGACGGCGGAAATATTGGGGGGACCTGAGAAATATATGACGGTGGGAAGTTCCCTGAGACTTGTGTGTGTGCTTAGGGACCACACCCAGCCTCCCAGCTACGTCTTCTGGTACCACGACGACCGCATGATCAACTACCATGTTACCAGGGAGGTACGTCGTTGGGTATCTTGGTGTCTGGGGGGTACCTTGGACCACCAGATGGACCAACTACCATGCTTCCAGGGAGGTACGTATGGAAGAAGGTATCTTGGTGTCTGGAGGGTACCTTGGACCACCAGATGGGCCAACTTCCATGCTACCAGGAATGTTAGCATGTGGAGCTCGCATTTAAACTGGTGGGTTGATTATGAGGAAGAACTACAACTACCGCACCATCAGTTAGAGCATTTAGGGGCAACCAAAGGTCGGGACCCGTTCCTCAGAATGGCCAGACGGTTCCAGTAATGGTCGTTTTGAAAGAAAGTTACTGTGACCGAGTCAGTCCTCGGTTCTTGCGTTAAATATTAGGGGGAAAAAATTAATGGAAATATGCCATCGAAAACACCGGAAATCATTAATATTTAGTGTTAGTAAATTAAACCTAACTTCCAAGCAATAACAAAGGAATAATGAATATAACGAAACTAGGACAAATATAATAAGTTGAATACTTCAGTTCCCCCTTCAAGAAGACTTGCATTTGAAAATGGCTGTCAATGAGCCCTGATCTCTTCGGCTTGAGGACGTCTATCCCCGGAGGAGGAGAGCCTCTCCTCGGAGGCACTGGAGCGGATAGGCGTTTTGAACTTGAACAAATCCTTCAACCCCGGGCCGGGGAACAGGCCCTTGTTTATGGTAAAGGGTTTCCGTTTCACCCTTTTCTCGCTGCTGAATTTCTCCGCCAGCTTGGTCCTTGTTTCTCTTCTCTTCTCCTCATCCTCGTAAAGCATCCCCAAAATAAGTCATTGTGGTCATTCGATCCCCAAAAGAGTCATCATTGCGGTCATTCGATCCCCAAAAGAGTCATCATTGCGGTCATTCGGTCCCCAAAAGAGTCATCATTGCGGTCATTCGGTCCCCAAAAGAGTCATCATTGCGGTTATTCGGCCCCCAAGAGTCATCATTGCGGTTATTCGGTCCCCAAAAGAGTCCTCATTGCGGTTATTCGGTCCCCAAAAGAGTCATCATTGCGGTTATTCGGTCCCCAAAAGAGTCATCATTGCGGTTATTCGGTCCCCAAAAGAGTCATCATTGCGGTTATTCGGTCCCAAAAGTCATCATTGAGATCATTCGGTCCCAAAAGTCATCATTGCGGTCATTCGCCCCCAAAAGCGCCCCCCAGAATAAGTCATCATTGCAGTCATTCCCACCCGCGCCGCTAGTGGGAACGACTGCTAGAGTCTTGTCCACCATAGACACCATCTATATCTTCACCTTACCTGTGGTCCCCTCGACGTCACATTAATCCTTTTCTAGTTTTTAAAATAAAAAAAACGCGACCTCGGATCTTCAGAGCGCCTGGAATTTCTTTAAAATGGACCGTCAGTCCTATTATCTGTCGTGCCTGGAAAAAAGGATCGGCTTTCCTGGTCACAGTCCTTATAGTGGACCCGGGATAGAATAGTCCACAGTCCTCAAAGTGGTCCAGGAATTCGGTCCTTCTGGAACTCGGTCCGGTCCACCTTTGGGGATACCATATACGTAATGACCAGGCGATATAGCAAATTAGTAACAAAGAAAGATAACTGGTCTTCAGAAAAGATATCTTTGTACTGCCTACAAGTGTCTTCCTCTTCTCTAATACAAAAAAATCTAAGAATAAATGAATACATTCATGATACACGTATCAATCCAAATAAAATCAGATGCGTTGTGCTACATAATCCCGCCTGAGAGCAAAGAGTTGCTTGGTGAAAGCATTTCTTTAAATCCAGACGGCTTAGTGGCACCCGGAAGACCTCGCTTGCTGTGGGGCGCTGGTGACCTCTTCCTTCACCCGCACACTTTAATGCCCTCCCTGGCACACTAAAATATTTTTTAGATAGTTTTTTCTTAAAAAAATCTTAAAAGTCCCCTCCCTTTCTCTCTCTCTCTCTCTCTCTCTCTCTCTCTCTCTCTCTCTCTCTCTCTCTCTCTCTCTCTCTCTCTCTCTCTCTCTCTCTCTCTCTCTCTCTCTCTCTCTCTCTCTCTCTCTCTCTCTCTCTCTCTCTCTCTCTCTCTCTCTCTCTCTCTCTCTCTGTCTCTGTCTCTGTCTCTGTCTCTCTCTCTCTCTCTCTCTCTCTCTCTCTCTCTCTCTCTCTCTCTCTCTCTCTCTCTCTCTCTCTCTCTCTCTCTCTCTCTCTCTCTCTCTCTCTCTCTCTCTCTCTCTCTCTCTCTCTCTCTCTCTCTCTCTCTCTCTCTCTCTCTCTCTCTCTCTCTCTCTCTCTCTCTCTCTCTCTCTCTCTCTCTCTCTCTCTCTCTCTCTCTCTCTCTCTCTCTCTCTCTCTCTCTCTCTCTGTCTCTCTCTCTCTCTCTCTCTCTCTCTCTCTCTCTCTCTCTCTCTCTCTCTCTCTCTCTCTCTCTCTCCGGTGAGCTGACTTTACAGCCAGAGTGAATCAGGACTTGAGCTGAGTCATATAGCATGGACTCGAAAGGTGCATAGAGGACCTGGGTCACGCCATGCAAGAGAATCGTGCATAGTCAAGATACAAGCAAACTTGTGCTTCATATAATGTTTTGCAACTACTGCTGGCAAGCACATGCCTCTTAAATTTTGATTGAAGAGCAATAATTCATCCGCCAGAACATCGACTTCATTACTGAACACTATATATCCACAACTCATTCATAAAACTGTCTTAGTGGCACTATCTTGCTGCCAGTTATTATTGTTGTTTGAGATGTTTAACTACACCACGGAGACTGTTTAACAGTCTCCGTGGTGTAGTGGTAAGACACTCGCCTGGCGTTCCGCGAGCGCTATGTCATGGGTTCGTATCCTGGCCGGGGAGGATTTACTGGGCGCAATTCCTTAACTGTAGCCTCTGTTTAACGCAACAGTAAAATGTGTACTTGGATGAAAAAACGATTCTTCGCGGCAGGGGATCGTATTCCAGGGACCTGCCCGAAACGCTGCGGGCAGGTCTAGTGGCTGTACATGAATGTAACAACTCTTGTATATATCTCAAAAAAAAAGATTTAACTCATCATCGCATATCTCAGGCGGATATTGTTGTTATCTATTTATTAATGAACCTTGAAGCAGTTGGCATTTCCCCATTTGTATAAATAAATACTGGTGGGGAGCCACCAGCATGTGGGTATCAAGAGGTGTAGAATGTCATTAAAGTGGAAATTTCACAATAAGTGGCTATAAGTACACTAATGTACAGTTCCTTGGCATCAGTTGTGTGGCTCTTAGACCGGCAACCAGGAGGCCTGGTCGACGACCGGGCCGCGGGGACGCTAAGCCCCGGAAGCACCTCAAGGTAACCTCAAGGTATCCATTAGGAATTACCCTTAGATTTCCACTATCAAGTGTTGTGTCACTTGTTTGCTGTAACAGTGTTTTTAGATGTTGTTGTTGTATAAGATTCGCTACCTGGAACACAAAGTTCCAGGTAGCACGGGGAACCCGTTCTCGCAAATTTAATAATTCAATATTGACTTATTAAATATGTGCATAGGTGACATACTTAACATAATAGATACCCTTAAAAAGATTCATAGAAAACACCGACCTTACCTAACCTTGTTAGTATCTTAAGATAAGCATCTTATAGCTTCGTAATTACAATTATTACCTAACCTATAATAGGTATAGGTTAAGTAATAATTGTAATTACGAAGCAATAAGATACTTATCTTAAGATACTAATAAGGTTAGGTAAGGTCGGAGTTTTCTATGAATCTTTTTAAGGGTATCTATTATGTTTAGTATATCACCTATGCACGTAGTTAATAAGTCAATATTGACTTTACGAATTTGCGAGAACGGGTTGAGCACGGGCTATGGCGAGCCCGTAAGTCTATATTTGTTTTTAAATGCCTATAGTGCTTAATTTTATTTTACCGTTGTTGGGGACAGCACGCCTGTATGTATGACTATCGAGGCCCCTCCTTAGGTCAACTAATAACCTTCCTCCACATTAACAATTCAAAACAATTGCCAAACTCCCGGGTACCTATGTACTGCTAGGTGTACAGAAGCATCAGGTGAAAGGAATCGTACACAACCGCTTCTATATCCTGCATGGAGGATTGTTATCCTCGTAATGCTTCTCTCTGCTACCATAAGCACCACCTTCGCTACTCTAACAACCTGAACATCCTGCTGATGTTGTAACCATTTCAGCTACCATAACTTCGTAGCTGGGGTTGAACTTCGGCTCATTGGTCCCGCCTCTCAACTGGTTTACAGGGGCCAGATTCACGAAAGCACTTCCGCAAGCACTTACGAACCTGTACAAATTTTCTCAATCTTTGACGGCTTTGGTTACATTTATTAAACAGTTTACAAGCATGAAAACTTCCCATTCGACTGTTTTTATTGTTATAAACAGCCTCCTGGTGCTTCGGAACTCATTAACTGTTTAATAATTGTAAACAAAGCCGCCAAAGATTGAGAAAAGATGTACAGGTTCGTAAGTGTTTGCGTAAGTGCTTTCGTGAATCTGGCCCCAGGTTCCTGAGCCTACTGGGCTCTATCATATCTACATTTGAAACTGTGTATGGAGTCAGCCTCCACCACATCACTGCCTAATGCTGTTTACTCTGACACTGAAAAAGTTCTTTCTTTGTGTTGACAGGTCCGCGTGGAGACCAGCGGGGGGCTGAGTGTGTTGTTTCTAGACAATGTGAGACCGACAGACTCCGGCAACTACACCTGCTCCCCGTCTAACACCCGTCCAGCGTTCATCTCCATACACGTCTTAAAGGGTCAGTGGACAGGAAAATATCCTGTCTTCACGGGTTATTCATGTCCGTGCCACCTCGTGGGTGGCTTAATCTTCATCAATCAATCAAGAAAAATATCCAGTGATGTCCATATGGTTGTCTGCGATATGAATGTGTGAGCTTCTATAACCTTGTATACTTGTGTATATGATCTGTAATTGTATTCTCTTGTTTAGCTGAATACGGCTTTCGTCCCCAGGAGGCGAGACTCCTGCGGCCATTCACTCGTCAGCAAACACGAGCTTCCCATCCCTGCTGGTTCTGCTGCTCCTGCTGGGGCTGCTCAGCCCGGGCCTCAGCCCGGGAGCTCTTCCAGGACCTAGTCTGCACGGTCCTCGGCCTGGGTGCTCTTCCTGGAGCTGGTTTACGAAGTCCTCCGTGCTGAGCCTCTTCGTGGGGCCGGTCAACGCGGCCGGCAGATCGCTATACAACAGTGAGTGTGCATAGGTGAAAATGTGTGTCTGGTCTGTATAGTTATTTTTCATATTGAGGCTTCTAGGTTCCTCCCCGTTTTGTGTATTACTCTACAGACCATCGTTCACCTGTCCTTCTATTCATGACCATGTCTTTGCTTTCATTTAATTCTATTAGCCATGAAACTGACATTAGCAAGTCTTCCAGGAGCATACTGCATTTATAACCCGCTCTGATTCCCGTAAACAACTTTACCAGGAGTGTACCTGGAGTGGGTTATGAGAGTTCCTCTACACCTCGAGCCCGGCCTGGGGAGCCGGGCTTGACTTTTTTTTGAGATATATACAAGACTTGTGATAACTTGGTCCAAAAGGCTGTTGCTTGGAGCAGTTCGTAGGCCCACACATCCTCTACACCAGATGTCTAGTACTCCCCTCAGGTCATTTACACTAAGAATGGTGCCAGAACTAGTGTAAATTTTGTGTGATTCCACTTTAATGATAATCCCCATTTACTCATACAATTCCAATTGATTTGTCAGGCAAGACCTCCCCACTCTTTACCCGTGTTGGCATTTCGTTACAAATGATTATCCTTCCATGTTTATCTGTCGTTCCAGGCTGCCACGACAAGTGACCGAGGTCTCGCTGTGACCGAAGGGAGGCGGGACGAGATCGGAGGTGGTGAGATCGACTCTGGACAGTCTCGTCTCCAGCTGGAACTCTGGTAGAGGGAAACTGTGTCGCCTCCAGCAGAAGTTCTCAAGTTATATGGCGAGCTTAGCTGCATACAGCCTCAATATTACTCCAAAAGTTGTGAATTTACCTGCGTGGCTCGCCATGGAGGAATATGAAGCGTACAACAGTTGATCTTGTAGTGTACGATGGCCACTATGGCGGCATACACTCATACCGTACACAAAATGGTTCGCCTATGGATTTATGTACTGTCTTAGGGGGTTCACGAAGCCAGGTTCTGTCTTAGGGGAACATGAAGCCAGGTACTAACTTAAGGGTACATGAAACCAGGTACAGTCTTAGGGGTACACGAAGCCAGGTACTGTCTTAGGGGAACATGAAGCCAGGTACTGTCTTTAGTGTAAACAAAGCCAAATATGCTGCCTTTGGTACACACACACAGTCAGGTATACTGTTTATGATGTACACAGAGCCTGGCATTCTGTCTTTGAATGATACAAAACCAGGTACACTGGTGTATCCTGGCAAGTACACCAGAGGGTCACAAGTATACCAGAGCCTCAAAACTTCACCAGAAGGTCACAAAGTAAACCAGAGAGCCACAAGTAAACCAGAGGGTCACGAGTTAACTAGTCTCAAGTAAACTAGAGGGTCATAAAATATACCAGAGGGCCACAAAGTAAACCAGAGGGTCACAAGGTAAACCAGAGGGTCACAAGGTAAACCAGAGAGTCATAAAGTAAACCAGAGGGTCACAATGTAAACCATAGAATCACAAAATAAACCAGAGGGTCACAATGTAAACCATAGAATCACAAAATAAACTAGAGGGTCACAAGGTAAACCAGAGGGCCACAAAGTAAACCAGAGGGCCATAAAGTAAACCAGATGATCACAAGGTAAATCAGATGGTCACAAAGTAAACCAGATGGTCACAAGGTAAACCAGATGGTCACAAAGTAAACCAGATCATCACATGGTCTCCAGAGAAAGTTACTCTCAAATATATGTAACATAACTACCAGTATGTAAACAGTTGCTCAAGTGAAACAAAAAATAAAATAATAAATGTATAAATAAAAATTAAAAAATGCCTGTGAAATTATAGACTTTTTATTAAAAAATAAACATAAATAATAAAATGTATTAATTTTCTTACCGTTTGTTTAATAAGTAAATCAAAGAACGCCAATATTTTGTGCTTCTTATTTTGTATGTCTTAGGCTTTTTTTTAATGTTAGAAAATATATAGTGAGGCTGAAGCTTATCTTCAGTAAGCTGTACACCTGAAGACGCTGACAGGTGGAGCCTCCCAGACCTTATTTTCTTTTTCCAGGATGGTCATGGATGGGACCATCTTTCTTAAAGTAAATCTAACGTGAGACTTGGGATTAACTTATTTTGTTCTTGTCCTTAATTCGTGTGTTTTGGGAATTATCCTTTTCTGTCTATACACTCTTTAGGATAACTAAATTAAAAAAACTATGTAATAAAACAAGAAATGGCAATAGCAATAGATAACATGGCAATGGCAATAGATAACATGGCAATGGCAATAGATAACATGGCAATGGCAATAGATAACATGGCAATGGCAATAGATAACATGGCAATGGCAATAGATAACATGGCAATGGCAATAGATAACATGGCAATGGCAATAGATAACATAATGCAATAGAACAGTAATCACAATATATAAAATAATGCAATAGAACAGCAATGGCAATACAGTATATAAAAAATGCAATAGAATAGCAATGGCAATAGATAAAATAATGCAATAGGAGAGGAATGTCAATAGATCAAATACTGCAATAGAAGGGCAAGGGCAATAAATAAAATAATGCAATAGAAGAGAAAAGGCAATATATATATATATATATATATATATATATATATATATATATATATATATATATATATATTTATTTTTCAACAATTAATACATTTCTATTAGGGCAACTTATATATCACAATAAATATATATACATATATATACATATATATATATATATATATATATATATATATATATATATATATATATATATATATATATATATATATATATACAAGAAGGTACATTAGGTTTATGAGAGATAAGAGTACATAGCATTTTTTTTTTCATTTTTTTTTATTATTTTCTACCACAAAACCATTAAAACCATCTTGTAAAACCATAGCGTTTCGGGCAGGTCTTTAGTCTAACAGATAATTTTAAGTAGGTAATTTCTAGCAAAAATTGACAAAATGTTAACAGGTACTTTGTAAGAAAATTTTACAAAGATTAGTAGGTACATTAAAATAAAATTTGAGGGTTAGCAAATATTAAAATAATACAATAAAACAGCGGTCCAGGAAAACCCACATTTTCTGTATATGAAAAGTGATGAGATTTATGCAATTAATGCCAATAAAACAAACAGCAATTGTAGAGGAAGCAATGTCAACGAAAACAATGCTGCTTTAAAAAGCAAAGCATCATCATGTCTGTACAGCATGTCCCAGAATTGGTACATGTTCTTCCTGCACATAAGAAACGGTTTTACCATTTTCAGGTTATCTTGAGATGACTTTGGGGTTTAGCGTCCCCGCGGCCCGGTCCTCAACCAGGCCTCCTTTTTGTTACACAACCCCAGGAAGCAGCTGTCTGACTCCCAGGTACCTATTTACTGCTAGGTCAACAGGCGCATCAGGGTGAAAGAAACCCTGTCCATTTCTTTCCGCCTCCACCGGGGTTCGAACTGGTGGAGAATTCGCCCAGGACTACGAATCCCGAGGGCTGTCCACTCAGCTGTCAGGCCCCTTACATGAACTGTATATGAACCATATATGAACTGATGCCGCCAAACACTCCTAATGTCCGTATTCCTTCTCCTGGAACGGTCGAGGAAAAACCCACATTTTCTGTATATGAAAGGTGATGAGAGTCGACCTTAATGACGGCAAAAACGCCCGGGGCGAGGCTCAGTAACTCCGATTAAACCCCCACATATTCCTCCAGTTAGCAGCTTGGTAAGGCTGCTGCCAGAGTGAGGGAGAGCGTTATGTGGTTTACTGTTTGATATTTGGGTAGCTTCTGTCTCTCTGTCTCACAATTTCTCTCACTCTCACTCTTCCTCCTCTACCTTCCTCCCATTTTTACTTTATTCCTTTAGCATTCATTCTCTCTTTCCGTTTCTTTGTAAGATAATTTTTGCAAAAACATCCGACAAATAATCAAGATAATTATGGTATTGTTTTTTACCCTGCAACCTGATTCACCAAGAATTTACGTCTTCCACTTACTAAACCTTCATATCTTTCCTTAATCCTTGCGGCTTTGTTATTAATAAACAGCTTGCGAGCTTGGAACCGCTCCGAGGTCGTTATTGACCCGAGGTTATTGCTATAGATAGCCTCGTTGAGCTTCGGAGCTCGTTAACTGTTTAATAAAGGCGAACTAAGTCGCCAAGAGTTAGGGAAGATGCATAGGTTTCGTAAGTAGTTGTAAGTGCTTGATGAATTGTAGCCCTGGAACAATGAATGACTTGGAAGTCATTCATTGCGTTACACTGTGTTCCATATATCAAGTTATTAGTACGTTTCATTATATATATTTTTGTTAGTATGATTATAACGAGTTGACACCAGCAACAACCCCAGCCTTAGATAAATGCACCCCATCTAGAGCAAACATGTTATTCCTTCTATAGAATTGGTCCCAGTTATCAATGAATGATATTACATTTGATTTACAACATTTTTCCAGTCGGCAATTGACAAACGGCTCCCTAAACGTAGTTCAGACTCAATGTTCCCCAGACGTTGTTCAAACCCCATGCTACCTAGACGTTGTTCAGACTTTAATGCTCCCTAGACGTTGTTCAAACCCCATGCTACCTAGACGTTGTTCAAACCCCATGCTACCTAGACGTTGTTCAAACCCCATGCTACCTAGACGTTGTTCAGACTTAATGCTCCCTAGACGTAGTTCAGTCCCTATTCCACCCATATGTAAATCGACCAAAATAATATGATTATTATCTCTTCAAGGTATATACGCTCCACCAGGCTTTCTCCCAACTGAGCTACGCACTAGCTACAATACAAAAGGATTTCAGAGGTACAGAACCGTTGCCCAAACCTAAATTTATGCCTTTTCCAGGCTGCCACTTTGGCAACTTGAACACAGTACACTTGAGTATTAATTAGGTAATCACCTAATCCTTCCAAATTAATTGAGAGAAGTCTTCTTTAATCACAAACTGTAAAATGTTTAAATGTTATGATACTCACAAGAAAGTATAAAATAAAAGCAGAGCTCCAGGAATGTGTTAATTATAAATATCTAATACCAGGAGAGTATTTACCTTATCAGAAGCTACCGGGTTTGTACATCGGAGGTAAACAATACAGGTAATGCCATCTATCCGCAGAAAGATGCACTATCAACAGGTTAGGTTAGCAGCAGTTCATAAAATACAGCTGATGCCATCTGTTGGGATAAAATTGCACTATCAACAATCCAACATCAAATAGCATGTAAAATACAGGTGGTGCCATCTGTTATCATGACAACGCACTATCAACAGGCGAACAGCAGCCCATAAAGGTTGGTTGTTGTGCTGAAGGAAGCTCACCCCCCCTACCCCCACGAGCTTGCATCTCATTGGTAGAAACTCTTTGTTGACATTCACCGTCAGCCAATCACAGCAAGGGATCAGCGAGGTGCTCCATCACATAATAATATCATCTCTAGTGCACAGCACACCAGCCACGCTTATGATATTCTGTTGCATCTTTAATCTATCCAAAATGTGAACTTTACAACCATATAAATTTCTCAATTTAGTGATACTTAAATATGGTAGAATATAATAGTGATAAAAGAATGGCTTGGCAACCAAACCTGTGACGTCATCAATGGGTGGAGCCTCCAAGCAACAGCACGTCATAGACGCCGCGACGCCGGTCTTATTAATTGTGTCTTATGTGTGAAGCGAACAAGTGCTTCTCCGTTCCTAATTACCCAACAGCGTCGTTGAATTGTCAGATCGGCGCGTTTGATGAGATATCCCGCATAGTGCTTATGGAAAAGACATCGATTGACTTAAATTAGAAGTGGGGGAATGTTTTAAAATGGTGGAAAGCCGTAAATATGTGTTTCTCCAAGCCATCCCGCCTGAATGGAACAGTTATTTGATGGATTACTGTTATACTACTCTGAGGTCTGCCTACACAAATGTGAGTATTAAACTTGATTTTTAAATGGAATAGACGTATTCAGTAAATTGACAGGAATAAACGCTTCAACCGGGATTTTGTTATCAACCTCTCGGATAGACAATTTGATAATGACAAGATTACTGCACTAGGCTATGGCCCATATAAGCTTTGCAACATCTAATTTTGTTGATTTTGCTAACGGTTTCTACAATACAAAAAAAGTATAGTTGAGGTCACATTTCGATGATATTAACATGTGCAAGAATATGGTGAATGGTGATTTACTTAACAATTCCATTTCTAATTGTCCAAGTATTCATGCGTTCAAAAATCTCAAAAGAGGTAACTCATTTTACTGTAGCTTAGGCCACAGGCTTTAGGCTTTTACAATAGCTTAGGCTACAGGCAAACGTACGTTTTATAATCATAATCCAAAAACTAAACCAGAAATTCGTAACTTATTTGTGGTACCTTATGCGGTAGGACTTGAAAAACTATCCCCAGTTTTTTAAAAACCTTAATATCAATCTGGTGTTCAATATTAGTACGATTAAGTCCCATTTAATAAAAAAATACTCTCCGGGTACAGCAGGTTGTTAGTATTCGATTCCCTACAATGTGAGTCTGTGTACCTCGGACAAACTGGAAAATCCTTACAATGGCGTGTGTCCCAACATGCTTATAGTATTAGAACTGCCCAAACGTCGAGGGCATCTTAGCTACACACAAGTTTGTGTGATCACACTATTAAATGGGAAGGAGCGAAAAAAGATTACCAATTGCAGGGGTTTCGTCGAACGGAATTTGATTGAATCTGTCCTAATCAGTGTCCAAATCTTCTCAATGTTTGTACTGGTATGTACAAACTAGATCCGTATTTAA